AAAATACATTGTTGAAGAGCAAAGAAAGCTGAAGTATATGTGTGTTTCTGGAAATTGTATTTATTATTAAGCATTTTGGCATAACTGGAAGTAATAAAGTTGGAACCACAAATGGGAAGACAAACAAGCAAACAAACAAAAAAAATACCACTGCTCCTTGACTTCATTCCAACTCATGGTCTCATGGCAACCCGATGTGTTAGAAATGACACCATGAGTACAACTGAGCTCCATAGGGTTTTCTTGGCTGTAATCATTATAAAAGCAGATTGTGAAGATTTTCTTTTGCATAGCTGCTGGGTGGATACAAACCTCCAGCCTTTCAGTTAATATGTTACTGTTGTAAGTTGTTCTTGAGTCAATTCCAACTCATGTTGACCCCATGTGTGGTGTGTCAAAGTAGAACTGTGCTCCATAGGGTTGTCAATAGAATGATTTTTTGGGACTTGATCACTACATCTTTCTTCCAACGCATCACTGAGGGAGTTCAAAACACTAACTTTTAAGCCAGGAGTCAAGTGCTTAAGCATTTGTGTCACCCATGGACTCTATGAGAAAATCAGGCTGTCCCAAAGCAGTGTAGCTTGAAACACAAAAATAAAATAAATAAAAAGCTAGTTTCTATGGAGCCTAGAACTCCCACCACCATTATCCTGTTTGGATTTTTAAGATATTATGTTGTTGTTGTTATATGCCATCGAGTCAGACCCGACTCATAGTGACCTCTCCTTGGGTTTCTGAGGCAGTATCACTACGGAAGTAGATTCCCCAACCTTCTTTCCGAGGAGTGGCTGGTGGGTTTGAACTGCCAGCCTTCTGTTAACAGTCAAGTGCCTTACACAAAATGCTACCAGAGCTCCTTTTTCCATAAAAACATAATATGATGTAAATACGTCACTTTGATAAAACAGCTGTTGTCAAAGTGACAGAGTGTTATCTAAAACTAGTGTTATTCAAACTAGTACTCGGGTCTGCAAACTTTTGTTTGGCCAGTTTTTTTTTGTTTGTTTGTTTTTTGGGGGAGCAGTGGATGTGAAACTTCACAGAGCAAATTAACTTCCCATTCAACAGTTCATAAACATTTTATTTCATGACATTGATTGCAATCCTCTTAATGCAATAGCTCTCTTCCCAGTTCCTCCCTGTGGTTACCTTTTCTCTGTGTCCTTCTTTCTTATGCATTGTTTTGGCCAGTTTTTCATTAAGAGGCTGATTTGTGAGAGGGAGAAAGGATCTCAAAAAGCTCAGAGACTGCAGGTGAAAGTGGGGACTCAGGAAAGCCAGAGAGTACTAGGAATTTCTGGAGCAGAGGGAGGTACCCAATGCTATACAGGAAAATTGAAAAAGGTTGTCCAAAGATAAATGTTCCCAATGGCAAGCCCAGCAAATAAGGTTGCTAAAAGTGGTAGTTTAATATGAGACTGGAAAAACTATAATTAGATGATCAAATAATCCCTTTCTCTTTGTCCATTTTCCCTTGTACGTAACATGCTATTTTGACATTTTACTTTATTCAAGTTTTATAAATTAGGATCTAAAGATATGTTCCTTTCAGTTGTGGTGTTGGCAAAGAATACCAAAAGTATCATGGACTGCTAAAAGAATTAACAAATCTGTCCTGGAAGAAGTGCAGCTGGAATGCTGTTTGGAAGAGAAAATGGACAGACTTTGTCTCACCTACTTTGGTCATGCTGTCAAGGAGCTCTGGTGGCATAGTGCCTAAGGCACTTGACTGCTAACGAGAAGGCTGGGAGTTCAAACCAGCCAGCCACTCCTCGGAAGGTTGGACAATCTACTTCTGTAGAAATACTGCCTGGGAAACCCAAGGAGGGGTCGCTATGAGTCAGAACTGAATCCATGGCAGTGAGTTACTTTGGTCATGTTGTCAGAGGGACCATTCTCTGAAGAAGGATATCATGCTTGGTAAAGTGGGGGGTCAATGGAAGAGGGGAATGCCCTCAATAAGATGGACTGACACAGTGGTTGCAATGATAGGCTCAAGTATAGCAAGGATCATAAGGCTGGCACAGGACTGGGCAGTGTTTCATTCTATTGCACATACAGTTGCTATGAGTTATGTGGCACCTAGCAACAACACAATAACTTTAATCTAGCCTTTATTGTAATAATATCTTTAATAATTCTAAGTCACACTGATATTCAATTATCCTTTATCAGAAAACAGAAAATGTGGTACAACTTAGCAGTAACAGAAAGAATTAAGAAAGTAGGAGACATAAACAGAGAGCTCTGGTGGCACGGTGGCTCAGGCATTTGGATGCTAACCAGAATGTCAATTGTTCAAACTCACCAGCTACTCAATGGGAGGAAGATGCAGCAATCTACTTCCATAAAAGATTTATAACGTTGGAAACTGCAGTGTAGTAAATTACTTAGTATGGCTTTTCTACCCATAAGTCACTGTAAACTCAGTGGTGAAATGAGCAACTGAGGAGCTGCTGATTGTAAATGTTGTCCACCTGGAGTATTTCTGTTGGAAGTAGCACAAAACAATGTTCTGGGAGGTGCCCACTCTCTCCCTCAAGTACTTAGAGTTCTAATGCTATGATTGGCTAGTTTGACCACCATGCCAGGCTCAAAAGGAGGCCTCCTAGAGGCAGAACTCTCTCTCTGACTGCTGGCTGAGGAAGATGTGCTGCTGAAAGAGGCAGGCACTCCTGAGACACACATTACTGAGAAAGAGACACACATTGCTGAGCGAGACACTGAGGGACCAGCACTGCTGGGAAAGAGACTGTGAGAGACTGTTGGCTGAGGGATGGTGGGCTGGGAGAGAGACTGAGCATTTTTCCTGAGCTCAAATTATAGCCTGGTGCTTCCCTAATAAACCCCATAATCTGTGAGTTCTGTGTGGCCACTGCAGTGAACTATCGAACCCAGGAGAGAGGTGGTGGGTGCTTTGGGAGGAACAGCTGGAGAAAGGGCTGGAGGGAGGCAGCATGTCTGGCCTCGCAGGAATAGGCTTTGGGCTATTGATGGTGATTCTGTCTTCCTCTTGTGGGATTAGAGGAGGTCAGAACATGTGGCCTCCTTGCCCTTTTTGCAGAAACCCAATGTGGGTCGCTATGAGCCAGAATCAATTTGATGGCAGTGGGTATATTTTAAACATTCATAAACTGTATTTTAAAACTTTAGGGAAACAAAACATCAGCAAATTAGCTTTTAAATAAGGGGTAAAGCACATGAGGGTGAGAAGGTAGTTATTTTAATCCTGTATGTGAATAGCTATTATATATGATGATTTGGGGTATCTTTCAGTGATGGAAAGCCCCAACACATGAATACTATATTCCCAAGTTCTTCAGTGTAAATAAAAAATTGGTAGAGGGAGTTTGGGTGAAAAATTGAGTCTTGACACTGTCCAAATTCAATGTTTCAGTTCTTAGTCAAGTGCTTTCCTTGAGGAGACTAGATTAGAGTCAAGTTGTAATTTCTTTTGTTCATATTTCTTACATTGAAATAAACCAGCCAATATATTGAAACACCCTCAAAATCAGGACCTATTGTCAGTACCAAAAATCAAACTCACTGCCGACAAGTAGGTTCTGACTCATAGCGACCCTTCCTTGGGTTTCCTAGGTAGTATCACTATAGAAATAGATTGTCCAATCTTCCTGCTGAGAAGTGGCTGGTGGGTTTGAACTGCCAGACTTCTGGTTAGCAGTCAAATGCCTTAGGCACTATGTCACCAGAGACAAAAATCAATTTAATCAGACTAAATATAATTATATAGAATAATTTTGAAGAAATCTACTTATTAAAAAAGTACATGGAAACCATGGCATATCCTTTTTTAAATAACAAAATAAAAATGAGTATTCATTTTTAAAAAGATACTCTATAAGTACATTTTTAAATAGGTAACTTCATTCTTCAGAATTGTTTGATTTATAAATCTCTAGGAAATTGACCCAAAATTGAGGAAATAAAGCTACCTAATATATAAAAATTCAGATTTAGATGGTTTTTATTCCTGACAATGAAATAAATTTCTAAAAATGAAAGGAAAATATGATTCTTGCTGCTCAGGGATGACTATAGATACATTAGGAATAATCCACCATTTCTATTTAGAATTGATTGTAGGCTCTAATGCTTTTGTATGCTGTGTAGCTCAGTTTTCCAATATGTAGTCACCTCTGGATATGGCTATGACTGCTCTGTATTAGCAAGCAGCAACAGAAGAATGTCAAGAACCATTCCCATTAGTATTTGGTCAGACCAGTCAAAATGGTATAAAATATGGTTTATTAAAGGAGTCAGTATGTTATTTTTAAATTCTGTCCCCTCAAATACATGCTGGAATCCTAATCCTTAAATGGACGTACTCCTGTTTGGAAATAGGGTTTTTGTCATGTTAATTAGATCATTCCCAGGTAGGGTGGGTTCTTAATCTAATCACTTCTGAATTAGAAAAACAGCAGAGCTACACAGACACATGAAGAAGACAAAGGCCTATGAATCTGCAAGCCCAGAACTCTAAGGGATGTCAGCTACTAGAGGCTGAAATAGACGGAGGAGGACCTCCCCATAGAGCCATACCCTGAATTTGGACTTGTAGAGCCCTGATTGTGGCAAAATAAATTTCTGTTCTTTAAACCATCTACTTATGATATTTGTGTTACAGTAGCACTAAGCAACCAAGAAAGTATCTCTGGATTACAAAGTTCTATTAAATGACATGAAAAATGTTTTCACAAAGCTAGCTGGAATAATAACTGGAATCCTTCTGTAATCAGATATTGAGAGCCACATAGCATGATGTTAGAGAAAAACAAATACAAATTTTTTTTGAGCAGTATGTTTTTAAAATCCTTTTTAAGTCTGCTTTCAGTGCTCAAATTTGTCATATATACTTGGTTGAATTCATTTATTACTATGTATTAATCTACAATACCTCATTATAGAAAGGATTAAAGAACATAAACTTGATTTAAGAACAAAAACACATAAATATATTTAGTGTGTTAGCTAGAGCGTTATTCATTCATGGGTATTACTTTGGCTCCATGTGCGTTGATGTAGGTGAGAAGAATTTTGGCTCTCTGTTCTATTACATCGATAAGTTTTTCAATCCCTTGTCTTCCTCCTTGGCTTTCCCAATAAACTTTATCAAGAAACAGAGATTGAAGGAGTTTCTGTCGTAAGTGCTGGCTCTTCAAAACAGAAACTGCATATTCAGGAAACCTGGAAAGATAAAATGATATTTCATTCTTAGTAATTACCCAGAAATATTATGCCTTACTCAAGTTTCTGCCCTTCATTAATCTGGCATAAATCAAACTATCAGATAGGTTCTTGACAACCAAAGCACTTTAGTCACTGTCAAACTGACACTTCTCTTAATATTAACAAACTAGAAAAAATGTGTTTCAAGTAAATTGAGTTGTCTGTACCATTCACAACTTGACATACTAACATCTTACTTAAGGGCATTATGTGTAGGCAAAAGAGGAACAATTAGAAAGGGGTCTGTTAATCTAGCAAAAATAATTTCCCCAATCTTAAATTCTATTTTGCCCATAAAAACTACTTTTATCTGTCAAGTAAAATAGTGCTCTCCTAAATGTCAAGGTGAGATTTCATGCAAGAAAATATGAGAGGTAAAATGCTGATTATTTCAATAAGTACTTATCCTGAGGAGAAGTTGTACAACTGAATTTAATGTGAAGTAATCCATAGTGTATGTAGTGGAAAAGAAAGAAATCATTTGAAAATGTCCAATTAAAGAAACAATTGCCTTTGATTCAGATTATATTATAGTAATTCTGAGGATTTAGTAGCATCAATTAAATAAGTGAATTATTTTCAAATAAATTTAGCAACACTTAGATTTTAGAGCCAGAGCACTTCACCTTGAAAGGCCTCTTGGAAAACCTAAGCCCAATTTATAAGGATCTTCACTGAATTATCTTACAGTAGTATGCTCTCTTTTGTTCTCCTCTCCATTTAGAAAACATAAAATCAGGGAACTGACATATAGACTATTTAGAGGCCTAAGCAAAATTTGTGGTTCCAGTCATAACTAATATTTTGGTACATCCCCAATTTACCATTCTCAAATTTCATTAAAATATTCATGGAAAAGTATTAGAGTTTAATAATTATTTTTTAAGTAAACTCATTTAGTTGTTCCTTAAGAACTAAAACAAGAACACATAGTTTTTAAAAAGTACACTTTGAAGAAGTCCCAAGCCCTTATAATCATCTTTCCCAAATTTCAACAGAGCAAGATGGAATGACACAAAAGGCACATGGAATTCAAGGAATCCAAGTGCTCTGGCAGTTGACATGCTGAAGAAAGACCAAAGGCCACAGAGCTGGACATGTTTAATGAGGATGAGTAAGTATGGAATTAAATAATGCTTATAAGATGCTTTGCACTCCCCAAAGACATGTACTGCATAAACTGACTGGTCATAGTACTAATTCAATAATTATAATTAATTAAATAAGCCTTTTCCAGGAGGAAGTACTAATAATCCATGATTTGTAAATTCTATGGGTCTTCAACTAATTTAGCTATGGCAAAATGTATACAGTGAAGCTATTAAAACTGAGGATACCTTTAGTGACTATACCTTTTTATAAAGGGCATAGAAATTAAGGGGAAAAAAATATCTATCTTTATGTTATATTAAACCAAACCAAATTCACTGCTGTCGAGTCAGATCCAACTCACAGTGACCCCTCCTTGGGTTTCTGAGGCAGTATCACTACTGAAGTAGATTGCCCAATCTTTTTTCCAATTACGTTATATTGGTAAATAAGAAATTCAATGTATTGGTAATGGGATTAGCAAAGTCTTCATTTTTGCTTCTCAATCTATTAACTATATTTTCAAACAAGATTTAACTTAAAAAAAATTACTTCTCCTAATGTTCTTAAAAGTTAAATCTTCTTTGCAATAATAAACAAAACAGTATTTATATGAACATGTGAGATGGATGAACTGTAATTATCCAGAAATTATTATATCTGAGAAGGAATTTAGGGATTTAAGAAGATTCCTCTAATGTCAACTCATTAAGTGATGTGTTACACCTAAAATACCCACTGCCACTGAGTTGATTGCTAGTCAAAACAATCCTATAGGACAAAGTAGAACTGCCCCATTGGTTTCCAAGGCTGTCAATCTTTATGGAAGCCAACTGCCTCATCTTCCTTCTGTGGAGCACCTGGTGCATTCAAACCGCCGACCTTTTGGTTAGCAGCCAATACTTTAACCACTGTGCCACCAGTGCTCCTTTGAAGTGATTTCATAGATATATAAATTTTCTTATATATTAAATCTCCTTGGTTTAGGCTCTTAAAAGAAGAGAAAATCTGCCACATTTTCTATCTTAATCCATAAAGAGATGTGAGAAACAGGTATCAACCAGGTAGGCTATGATAAAAACTCATGAAATCATCAGACTCATGACATTCTTTCAGGAAAGTTTCACTTCTAATATTGAAGATACATAAAATCAACTTTACCTAAGTCAGAGTTTCAATTCACTACAAGAACATGCTTCTAATTCTTATTAGAAGATTATTTGAATATTCTGTCAGGATATTATTAACAAGAGTCATATTAGCATAGTACAAATACTACAAGCTATTTTAGAAAGATTACTTGATTTTGATTTGGAATACCATTGTTTTAACGTCACTTTTAGACTTATGCATGTGGTTTCCAGCAAGTCATTTAGCTTCACACAGCCATTTACCTATTTTAACAGTTTGTCTTTCCTTTCTTAGATCCCCAACATCTACCAATTATTTAGTCAATCTGATTTCTGACTAAGCCAGGAAACATGGAGAGTGACTCAGCCCCACCACATGATGGAGCTGGGAATTTAACCACAATCCCCATAGCTGGCATCAAATAGATCAGACTCCACTGCTGCGTTCCTGTCACTACTATCTAGTTCATGGTTTTCTTTATTTCTGATTAGAGGTAAGATCAGGTATGTAATGAATAACCACTGCATTTTAACTTCTACAATGCAGCACTACTTCTTCAATCCTACATTGACCTAGTCTCTGCTCTGCATTTTTTTCTGAGCACTGCCAGATGTCCCAAAACTTTTAAGGTCTTCTTGAATTATCATTGGTTCCTGAGTCAACCATCCATATAGAAATCCTCGATAAGGAATTCAAAAGAATTATATTTAGGTACCTTCCATGGACTAAGAAACAGATCAAGGAAAACACTGACAAAATTAAAGAAAACACAGGTAAAATTAAGGAAAACACAGACAAAACTCTAGAAAAATTTAGGAAAACAATACAAGAACAAACTGACAAAATAAATGAAATTAGAAATGATATAAAACCAACAAATAGAAATACAAGAAATTAATACTAACATTTCAGAGACAAATAAACAGATAATGCATTCAACAGGGAAAGGAACAGAATCAAATCAATGGAAGACTGAATTAGTAAGACTGAAGACAAATTCCTCAATACTACTTTGTTAAGGGCTCAATCAGAAAAAAATGATCAAAACAAGATGAAGAAAGCCTAAGATTCACGTAGGATAGCATCAAGAGGAATAACTTACATGTAATCTGAATTCCAGAATAGGAAGAGGCAAATACAACCACACAGAAAATTGTTGAAGATTTGCTGGAAGATAATTTCCCTAATACGATGAAAGACAATAATACATCTATTGAAGAAGTTCAATGAACCCAAAGAGGATAGACCCCAAAAGAAAATCACCAAGATATATCATAATCAAACTCACCAAAACCAAAGACAAAGAAAGAATCCTGAAAGCAGCATGGAAAAAATGAAAAGTTGCCTACAAAGGGCACTAATAACTGATTTCTCAGCTGACACCATGCAGATGAGAAGGCAATGGGATGATATATGTAAAACCCTGAAACAAAAAAAAAAAAATTACAACCAACAATTATATACTCAGCAAAATTGTCCCTCAACTATGATGATGAAATTGGGAAATTTCCTGATAAACAGAATTAAGGGAATTTTTTAAAATAAGAATAACTTTACAAGAGATGCTAAAGGGAGCCCTTTGGACAGAGGACCAACAACAGTAGACAACAACAAATGATTAACACACATGATGACAAAACCCAGAAGCCAACCCATTTACAGAAGAGTCCAAAGTAAAATAAGCTTCCAAGACTGTAAACAGGGATCCAGAGACATCAATGGGTAAAATGAGGACAACTACAAACCAAAAAGAGGGAATAAATCATGTAGTAACAGAACTTCTAAATGGTGGGGAAGTCAAGACAATAATGAGTTAGAATAGACTGTTCTGAACTTGGGAAGAAAATAATAAATCACAGGGAAACCTCAAAGAAAAATAATAAACCTTCATATTGAAATAAAAATAGGACAGGAACAAATATTTAGCATATACTAAAACAATAGCAGCAAAGGAAATGATAACATGATACATAAACAAAATGTGCTCAGCACAGACAACATGGAAAAAAGAAATCAGCAACACCACGAAAAAACACATAACAATATGACAGCAACAAATGCATACTTGTCAATAATTACATTGAATGTCAATGGAGTAAATGCACCACTCAAGAGATGGAGAGTTGCAGACTGGATAAGAAAACATGACCCATCAATATGCTGTTTACAAGAGACTCACTATAGAGACAAAGACAAAAATAGGCTAAAAATCAAATGTTTGGAAAAAGATGTATTAAGCAAATGGCAATCAAAAAAGAGCAAGAGTAGCAATATTAGTTTCTGATCAAACTGACTTTAACACAAAAACCACTATAAGAGACAAGGAAGGACATTATATAATGATCAAAAGATCAATTGAACAAGAGGACATAACCATAATAAATGAGAGAGTCCCAAAATACATAAATCAGACTGTAATAAAACTGAAGAGACAGATGACTTCCCAGCAATAATAGAAGATATTAATACACAACTTTCATTGAAAGATAGAACTGGAAAGAAACTCAACAAAGAAACAGAAGAACCAAACTATATAATCAACCAACCTGACCTTATAAATATCTACAGAGCACTTCACCCAACAACAGCAAAATATATATTCTTTTCCAGTGCACATGGAACATTCTCCGGGACAAACCATATATTAGGCCATAAAGCAAGCCCCTATAAATTTAAAAACATTGAAATACTGCAAAGAATCTTCTCAGATCACAATTCTATAAAATTAGGAATCAGTA